CAGTATACTCACTGGAACCAGTGTGCCCTCATTGGCTAGCATCTATACTCACTGGAACCAGTGTGCCCTCATTGGCTAGCATCTACAGTATACTCACTGAGACTAGTTTACCCTAAATGGCTGCACCAGCTGTCCCCCTTACATAGGAAATTCGGGACCTGTTTCTGAGAAATACGCGTAAAAGGGTCACTAGTTTAGAATCTATTGAGGGAGGCCATTTATACCTGTAGGCTTCACGTGTTAGAGAGACACCAACCAGGCCCCTACCAGCATTTCCGCACAGATTATTATTTTTGTTCTAACCAATAAACATCAAAATGTGTTTTCTGGTGAAGACAGAAAACATATTTATCACAAATGCACCACACTTTACCACAAATTACCACTTAAAAGGGCTGAAAAAAATATGTATATATTCTGGTGTACCCCAACATGAGAAATACAGTAGTCTAACAATTTCCATACATTTCTTTTTTGGGGGGGGGGGGTAATGATGACTATCAATGTCAATTAGACCAGAAAATAATAGCGAATCCCATATCAATATTGTTTTCTTTTCCATTTTGGGTCAAAATGTTGTAAGTTGGGTTCCTTATGTAATTCTAAATTAACCCAAAGGGGGAGGGGGCATGGACCTCTGCTGCGGGAGGCACATGAACCTTGTGGTTTAAAGTATTTACCATCAATGAAACTGTGAGAAAATAAACAAAACAATCTATATGTACTGCATGTTTATGTATATTGATAGCAGCCAATTTCATAATACCTGGATATTCCGTTGCATGAGGTTTGCGTGTGGGAAGTTATATTTGTACACCTTGTTGGCAACATCATTGATGTCAACAGCGGCTATCACAGTCGCATCCAGATAACTTTCTGAAATGACAGAGAGAAAAATTCACTTTGCCAAAGCTCTTACATGTAAAAGGATGTCATTTTTTTAAATGAAAACATAATGTTTGCTCCTTTATTCTTTTTCTGTTTTGTTCGGAACTGTTGTTTGTGATGTTTGAGAAATTGGAGACAAGTTTCTGGAGGTTTTGAAGTTTCAGAGAAAAACCTTTACTTCAAAACAAATCACAGTCTGATCATCACAGTTCGTTCGTGGCATGAATGCAGTATGCAGTATTCAAAGCTCCTTTAAAGTTTTCAAATTTATACGAGGTAAGCCAAAAGTCTGCAAGTGGGAGTAGGCCCAATCTACATACATATGGGCCTAACCCAAACATGGTACAGCACCCCTTACGCTAGCACACTTTGAAAGACAAAGATGGCTACAATGATGAGCCATCTGCACGACGTGCGTAAGCCAAAAACTAAAAGACAGTTTTTCAGATACACGCTTGACTTAAAGTTAGGGGCCTCACTACATCATGGCCTACGACTATCTACAAGTATTTATTGTAGGATTGAATATCTGGGAGCCCGTCTCCCACTTTTTGTCATTTTAATCTAAACTGGTGAGCTTCCCCCCCAAAAAATAAACCCCAAAGAAAACACTCTAATTGCGCTAACCCTATTTTTTTTTATTTCGAATGATATGGTAAATTCTGAGAAAATTTGACTTTCTTACTGATAAACCAGTCATTCGGGGAAAAATGCTGCAACCTGACTCCACCTTTAGAAACCAAAAAAGTCGCATCTTTGTTCTTAACTTGCTCTTCATAGAGTCCACTTGCATGTGAGCAGTGAAAGGAGTTTGTGGGGAAAGTGTTTCATGGACTTTTGGGAGCAAAATTCTCTTGGACTTAGTGAATTTTAATAGGGAGTCCAGCACTTTTCAGTTTTTTTGTTTGGCCCCCACAAATTTAGTATCATTGGAAAGAGAATTTCAAAAGAAATTGAATGGCATAAAATTTCGCTCAAAAGCTGTTAGTATAGTGAAGTTATACATTTTTTTGTTATTAAGATTAGGTGTAATTAGTCTGTTACTTTTTGGGGGTGGACACAAGTTTTATTTTCATCAATGTATTTCAATCACATGGAGTCTTGTTCCTCATCGGTTCCACTTCCAGCCATGTCAGAGTTGGACAAAGATCTCTAGTTAAGTCACAGAGGAAGTGTATTAAAAGTAAACAATATCTTTTATTATGGAGAACTTAATCAATAATAAACGCAGGATACATGTACATGATGTATACAGTAACAGGACAGTTGAGTTGGGCTTGAAATTTTTAGTGATGTGTGAAAGATCACTGAAGCATAGTTCTAATGTGGTATTTTGTCATCAATAAATAGCTAAAAAAATAGGAGACCAAGTCTGTCAGGTGTCATTAGTCTTTTTGTGCTTGACAGGGTCTTTGGATAACATTTGATTGACACGTGTGGTTTATGCACTTGTTATTTGCATCTTGCTCCCCATGCACCATCCATCAATCTGATGCACATGCATACACCATAATATGCACAGTTGCGGACGGCACCCAAATACAAAAGGGCTGTTCGGCACCAGTTCGACATCAATTTTTGATAAAAAAGCAACTTCCTTTTCTTCCTAAAATTCTAAGCTACCAAATAAACACCGTTTCATACAGTGTATATGTTTCATCAACTCCTTACACATGTTTTTGGGGGATTTTTAATGGAAAAATGCACACTTTTTGTTTCCTTTTTGTAGTCTTCACAAACCAAAACAAGGCTTGATGGTGCTTCGGTCAAATGCCTCAAGTCATACATCAAATGAAAGAGTATTTTAAGCTCTATAAGATGATGACATCATTCCAAACCCGGTTGAGTATTAGGCTTAGACGAGACTATGTCACACGACAACAAACAAAGATGGCGGCACACAGTTGTTGACGTAGCATAAGTGGCTAGGAACTTACATTATTTTCATCATACTTTACACCCAAAACTCCACAAAAACAGACATAATAAATGGTATCAAAACAAATTTCGGTTCTTTTACGACACAACTGCTATTTAAAATATAGAATTTGGTGCACAAAAAGGGCAGAAATCATTGATGAAAACAAACACTTTTACACACTTCCAGATATTTCGCTGGACAGGACTCCCTAATTTTGATGTATGCATGACACTACACACAGTCACACACACACGTTTACGCTTCATACCTAGTTTGGACATTCCTTTGTTTTAAGAAAACTCTGTGAAAATACTCATTTTTCCTCAACCAGGAACAAGATCAAAATTTTTGGCTGGCTTTTAGCACATGTACGTTTTCCTTGACTATTCCTCTTCTTTTACCACAGATGACCCCTACCCCGAAATGTCTCTAAACCCCTTTTCCAGAGAGGGGGAAACCTTGTGTACAAGTGCAAATCCACACAATGCCACCGTACCCTGCATTAAGTGGACTTCTTTTGTGCAGAGGTCCACACTGTGTATGACACGCCTGTACGTGTACATGTACACACGCTATATGTAATGTACTTCTAGTTCTACCATTCACCACACTACACACTAAAAATGCACCAAGCTGACAAAACTTTTGCCCCCAAATCTACATGAAAGGCTTTCCCCACAAACTCCTCACACTTTTTTTTGTCTTTGTTTTGTTTTTTTGAGGCACCAAACCTTTGATGGCAAAATGCATTCCTCCAATTCCGCTGTAGAATTCTAAAACCCTAATCACACGCATCGGTGCATTGGGCGCAGCCATGATAATTGGTTAAACTGAAACCATTGGTGGCGCTATCACGATTTTCAGAAATGAAAATCAGGCTGCATCCGAATCTCTTGCCTAGACCTAGGTCTTTGCTCGATTGGAAATGCGTGGAGACGCGTAGACAATAGACCTAGCCGTAGCTCAGGGCCCGTATTCACAAAACAACTTAAGTCATGAAAATTTAAGCTCCCCACTTAAGTATACAGCTTAGACGAGTGTCGCAACTTAAGTAGTATTCACAAAACATTTGCACTAAGTGCCCTACTTATTTTCATAACTTAAATCTAAGTGTGGTCGGACGTGTCTTAAGTCAAATAAGCGGGGCACTTAGGTGTCATGGCGGCTTTTATTCGTGCCGCTCGTTTTAGAGAAATTAATGAAAGAGCAATACGAAGGGAGAGATTTTTTCGTGATAGAGGAAACCCTTTGGATGAATATACAGACGGTGAACTACTCACAAGGTATAGATTTGACAGAGACGGAATATTATTCCTAACTGATCATGTTTTGCCATTTCTTTTGAATTTCGCTGACGTCCCGTCGAACAGAAGGAAACTGTGCATTCAGCACATCGGCAATTTCTTGCCAGGCAGCATGTTTGGCAGCTGATGTTATTTTCGCTGAAAATTTGGGCCGCAGCACGTCTTGCCGTTTTTCCCATTCAGCGAGAATGGTCAACTTTTCATTCTCAGAAAAGTTAGGCTTTCTTGATTGTTTACCGTCTTTGGTGGTCATTGTCATAATTAACAAAATTGAAAGATGGTCATAAAATAGTGAAAATGGTCTAAGGTGTTGCGATCAAATTAAATCTCCGTACCGCGTGCGCGTAATGTCACTACAACAGCGATTTTAAAATTGTCATTAATTTAATGGGATTTCAATGCGTCCTGCGTCTAAACGCGTCCCGGGAGTGGATTGCGTATCAAACGCGCGCTTTTAATTTGATTTGTTCAGTAGGTACAATTAATTAATGTGCAATTTAACAGGCAAATTCAGCTTTGTAACCTGTCGGCATGCGTCCGGAATCTT